ATTATTATTATTATTATTATTATTATTATTATTATTATATTATATATTATTATTATTATATTATTATTATTATTATATTATTATTATTATTATTATTATTATTATTATTATTATTATTATTATTATTATTATTATATTATATTATTATTATTATTATTATTATTATTATATTATTATTATTATTATTATTATTATTATTATTATTATTATTATTATTATTATTATTATTATTATTATTATTATTATTATTATTATTATTATTATATTATTATTATTATTATTATTAATAACTCTACTCACATATATATATTGTTGGATTGGCAATGTTCTCTTATCTTAGTTCCTACCCGCTGTTTCTCGGAGTTGCCACTTCTGAATAAAAAAAATTCTAAATCTGTTCGCATATGGCAATACCTTCAATCCTTGACACGGTCATGTCTTTGCTAAAATTCCTTTAAAATATTCTAACAGTTCTGACGTAAAGGATGTAATGGTGTGTGTCGTCGATAAATAAATGTTAATTGTTATACTTCTGTAGTTTTTGTTTGGGAAATAAACTAATTAGTCCCACTATGACATACAGATGGCGCCACGTGTTGTTTAGGTCCTGGTAGCCAATTTTTTAAAGAAATTTTCGAGGTATATTCCTCAGTGGAATGCGTAGATTTTTTAAAGAATTTTTGAAGGCATTTTCCTCAGGCCAAGGCTGGATTTTTAAAAAAAATTTCGAGGCCTATTCCTTAGTCATAGGCGAATTAAAGAATTTTTGGAGTCATTTTCCTCAGTCAAAGGCGTGGATTTTTTAAAGAATTTTTGGAGTCATTTTCCTCAGGCCAAGGCATGGATTTAAAAAAAAATTAGACCTATTCCCCTGACCAAAGCATGGATTTTTTAAAGAATTTATCGATTTTTGCACCAACGTTGAAAATAAAAACACTTTGATTTTGGGTTATAATTCTTTTATTTATTTTTTTCTTTTCGGAACAAACATTTAAATTTTTATAATAATAATTTTTGTTGCATATTTTTTGCGTTTTGAGTTTCTCATAACAAAGAAACAAATTCGAATTTTTTTATTAAAGGGATTTAAGGTTTTTTGGATTTTTTTTAATAATATTTTTTAATATAAAATTTAAACAGCCATCAAAAGTTAAATTGAATTAGTGGAGGAGAGTTACATAGCATTAAAAATTCTTATAAAAATAGTTGTTTTTTTATGATTTTTGAAGAATATGGTTTTATGATAATTTGATTTTTTCCAAAAAAAAAATACGATTTTTTTAAAGGGCGATAAATTAGAAAGTCAGATTATATTTAGGGGTCCAATGTGGCAAAGAATTAAATTTAGTTTTTAGAAATTAATTTAATTTTTCTTCCAATTATTTTTCCAAATTAATTTTTATTGTTTTTTTTTATATTTTTACTGTTTAAATAAATTATTATTTATTTAGAATAATTTGTGTTTTATCGAGGGTGCTTGATGTAAATTTTTATATAAATATATTTTTATTTTTTTTTTTTTGCAAATTTTAAGAATTTGTATTGAAGAACCTTGTTTTTGTTTTTTGTATAAACAACACTTATATTTTTTGTTAACTGCAAATTTTTTACGCTTATAAGTTTTATGTTTTTTTTGTTGTTTTTTTTTTATTATTTAATATTTTTTGCTTAGTTTATCCATTATGTATTTTGTTTCCTCTGCATAGTAGTGCTCTAGAGAATTGTTCCCATCATTATAATAATTAAGGTAATATTTTGCGATTTAGAAAAAGGTTTTTTTGTTATTTTTTATTTTGTTGGATTTGTTATAAAAAGTATTTTTATTTTTTAAGAGCCTCTCAATACAGACTTTCCAAAAAAAACTTCTTTAAAGAATATTGAAAATCTGCATTTAAAAAAATTTTCAAAATTAAAATTAAGAATAAAAAACGATTATCGTGGTTTAAAAAAAATTCATGGAAGTAATCAATGTGAATTAAATATAAAAATATATATTATACAAAAAAATATAAACAAGATTTTTTTAAATATTTTCCAAAATATTTTTTTTGTTAAAATAGATTTTCAAAGTACTAACACTAATTATTTTTTTTATTTCTCTTTCGAGACGAGTGAAAAGAAGAATTTCAGTGAAAAGATAAGCCAGATAGACACTATCACACACTCACCACAATGCAAAGCGCTACGCCATTGATAATTCTTTGAAAAAATATTTTTTAAAAAATCCTTGTCCATTACTTCTTTGAAAGGATATTTAAAAAAATTCTCGTCTGCTAATTCTTTAAAAAAAGAAATAATTTTTAAAGAATCCACTTTTGTTAATTTTTTGAAAAATCCACGTCTGTTAATTTTTTATTTTTTTTAATTCCTGTTAATTCTTTAAAAATATATTTTTTAAGAAAATCCAGGCCTATTAACTCTTTGAAAAAATTTAATTCCTCAGTTGTTAATTATTTTAAAGAAATCCATGTCTGTTAATTCTTTTAAAGAAAAAATCCACGTTGATAAATATTTTGAAAAAAATGTTTTTAAAAAATACACGTCTGTTAATATTTCGAAAAAATATTTTTTAAAAAATCCACTTCTGTTAAACTTTCGAAAAAACAATAATTTTAAAAAATCCATGTTGTTTAATATTTTGAAAATAATATTTAAAAAAATACACTTCTGTTAATCTTTAAAAAAAAATTATTTTTTAAAAAATCCACGTTGGTTAATATTTTGAAATAAAATATTTTTAAAAAATACACGTCTGTTAATATTTCGAAAAAAATAATTTTTAAAAACCAACGTCTGTTAATTCTTTGAAAAATATATTTTTTTTAAAAATTCCTCGTCTGCTTATTCTTTGAAGAAATATTTTTTTTAAAAATCCACATTTTTAAATTATTTGAAAAATTCTTTTTTAAAAAATCTACGGTTCTTAATTATTTGAAAAAAATATTTTTTTAACCCACGTCCGTAAATTGTTCTTTGAAAAAATATGTTTCAAAATATTAACATCTGTTAATTCATTGAAAAAAAATATTTTTTTTTTAAAAAATCCAGGTCTAATAATTCTTTGAAAAAATATGTTTTGAAAAATCCAAGTATATTATTCCAATATTTTCCAACGTGGATTTTTTAAAAAGAAAATAAAATATTTGGAAAAATTATTTTTTAAAAAATCAAATCTGTTAACTGTTTAAGAAAATATTTTTTAAAAAAAAAATTCACATATGTTAAATAACGTCAGGGGATTTATAGAAAGAAAAAAAATTTCATAAATATTTTTTTTTAAATCCACGTCAGTTAATTTTTCGAAAAAATAATTTTAAAAACAACTCGCGCCTATTGATTTCTTGAAAACATTTTTTTAAAAACTCCAAGTCTGTTAAGTCTTTGAAAAAATATTTTTTTTAAAATCCACATCTAATTTTTTTAAAAAAATATTTTTTATGAAATTTTTTGAAAAATCACGTATGTGAATTCTTTCAAATAATATATTAAAACAATCCACATATATGGGTTTGTTGAAAAATATGTTTTTTTAATTTTCTTTTGAAAAAACATATGAAAATATATTTGAACATTTGAAAATATGAACATCTGTTAATTCATTGAAAAAAATATTTTTTAAAAAATACACGTCTGTGGATTTACTGAAAAACATTTTTAAAAAATCAACGTCGTCTGAAGAAATAGTTTTTTAAGAAATTAACCTATAATATTTTTTTAAGTCCATCATTCGAAACAATATTTTTTTAAGTCCATTCTTGGAAAAAATATTTTTTTTAAACTCCACAGCTGTCTATTGCCTATTGAATCTTTGAAAAAATATAATTTAAAAATTCCAAGTTTACTGATTTTTTGAAAAACATTTTTTAAAAAATTCTGTAGATTTATTGAAAAAATAATTTTTAAAAAATCCACGTCTGTGGATTTATTGAAAGAATATTTTTTAAAAACTCCACGTCTGTGGATTTATAAAAAAAAATATTTTTTAAAAAGTCCACGTCTGTGTATTTATTGAAAAAATATTTTTTTAAAAAATCGACGTCTGTAGATTTATTAAAAAAATATTTTTTAAAAAATCGACGTCTGTGGATTTACAGCAAAAATATTTTTTAAAAAATCCACGTCTGTGGATTTATTGCAAAAATATTTTTTAAAATATCCATGTCTGTGGATTTATTGAAAAAATATTTTTTAAAATATACATGACTGTGGATTTATTGAAAAAATATTTTTTAAAAAATCCATGTCTGTGGATTTTTTGAAAAAATATTTTTTAAAAAATCCAAGTCAGTGGATTTATTGAAAAAATATTTTTTTAAAAATCCACGTCTGTGGATTTAATGAAAAAATATTTATTAAAATCTCCAAGTCTGTGGATTTATTGAAAAATATTTTTTAAAAAAACCACGTCTGTAAATTCTTTAATAAATATAGGTCTGCTAATTCTTTAAAAAAATATGTTTGTAAAAAATCCACATTACATGATAATTTAAAAAAAAATTAAATTATTATAAAAAAGTTATTGCTTTAAATCCATATTGTTTTGTCAATAAAAAATAGTATTTTTAATTAAAAACTTGTATGACGTTCTTCATTTCAAATTAAAGGAAAGGTATAAATTTGGAAATAATAAAACGAAACAAATATATTTTTAAATTTTTAATTTATTTGTAATTTTACATTCATGTTTGTTTTATAGTATTTTTTTATGTTTTTCTTTTTAATAATTTAAATGCTTTGCTTATGTTTGCTCAGAATTAATAAAATACAATAAATAATTTCAATTAATTTTTTTTTTCAAATCTTAACTAATTTGGCTTAAAGTTATTAAATAAATTAGTATTTTTTAATTTAGCTATAAGCGTTTTATTTTCAATCATTTATTTATTTAATTTTTAAATCATTTGGAATATTTATTTATTTTAGCTTATGTTTTAAGTTTTTCATAGATAGATAATGGATACATAAGAAAAAATTAACTATTTTTTAAAAGTAATTTAATTTTGTAATTTACAATTTTTTTGATAAAATAAAAAAAAATAATTTTAAACAAATGGACGGAAATACAGATAAATATTTTTTTGTTAAATAATAATGCGAAAAATGAGTATTTTTTTGTTGAATAATTTCGGTTCGTTGTCTATTTTGTGTTGAGGTTGTTATGACACAATGACAAAATACAAAAAAAAAAAAAAAAATAATATTTTTTCTAAATTATTTTTAGGAGATCAGAGTTGCAACTATAACCTATAACTTTAATAAAGAAATAGTACTTTTTTTAAGTTATATGATTTTTTTTAAATTTTTTTCAGACTTAAAAAATATATGAGGACATTTAATTTCATGATTTTCTTAACTAATCGACTTGTTTTTTTTAATTATAACAAATATTAATATAAGTTTTTCTTAAAAATTGTTTGCGATTTAAAGCTTAGATAATTTCAAATGAGAATGAGAAAAAACGCCATTTGCTCCTTCTTAAAGGCCAAACAAATTCGCCCCCCGCCTGTCAATTATTTATTGCGTTTCAATGTATTAGCCTCACAATCTTTGGGATCAATATCATCCTCCTCGGCCGTGGGTGGTAATAGCTTTTTCAACTCTGCCTCGGCTTCGGCCACAGTGGCACTGAGTCCTAAAAACAAAAAAATCAACAACTCATTAATCATTTCGTCACCCAAAAATATTCACTTCGTTCACGATGACATACTTCTATCCGCTTTTTGCTTTTCATCCGGCTCAGCAGCACTTTGTTCACGATTTGGTGACTTGTCTCGACGTGTCCTTCCAGCCACCTGGTCATTTTTGGCCTGTTCACATAGGCGGAATGCTTCCAAGAACTCATTCAGATCGACCAGACCATCTTTGTTCAAGTCCATCATGCGACACATATCCAACAGCTGTTCACGGGTATTTGTGCCGGGCAAATGTTGTTCCAACAAATCACAGGCATCACTGAATTCACTCAGAGAGATGTAGCCTAAAAGCAAAACAAATAAAAAAAAAGACAAAATAAATTAAATTGAAAGAAAAATAACAAAGGGTGCCCAGGTGCGTATAACTTATGTCAAAACTCATACGCACCAAAGGAAGAAAACTTAAGTTTGCTTTTGGCCTGTTCCAGAACCTGCAAGAATCTACTAGTTTAACAATTTTCTCCGATATTATAAAGGGAAATCGGTTATCGTAGTAAAAAACTTCTACATTCTTGGAACAGACCATTTGTCTTGTTTTTTCAATGACTGTTTTATTTTCAATCCTTAAAATGTTTCTCACATACCCGATTGATCTGAGTCCAATATATGGAATATAGCCTCCAAGCTGCTGACATTTTTGTACAGAGAATCGGCCACGCTGGTTTCTTGTGCTTGAGCTTCAATCTATAATAAAGGAAAAAGGATTTAAAGTCATGTAAGACCATCAACTCTCAAGAGGACGGAGATAAATCATCTGCATCCTAAAGATAATTTAAAAACATTATCTTTATTGTCCTTATCTACAGCTATTTAAACGGTTTATTTAAATTATCTACCTCATTTAGATGAGGCAGATGATTTATCTACAACATTTAGATAATGTAGATAAATTAAATTAATTTTTAGATGATGTAGATACAATATGGATAGCGTAAATACTTTATCCACGTTATCAGGATAACGTAGATACATTATCCATGTTATGTGGTTAACGTAGATACATTATCCACGTTATCTGGACAGCGTAGATACATTATCCATGTTATGTGGTTAACGTAGATACATTATCCACGTTATCTGGATAACGTAGATACATTATCCACGTTATCTGAATAACGTAGATACATTATTTATGACATTTGGATAATGTAGATACATTATCCATATAATCTGGATAGCGTAGATACATTTTCCACGTTATTTGGATAGCGCAGATACATTATCCACGTTATCTGGATAGCCTAGATACATAATCCACGTTATCTGGATAACGTAGATACAATATTCACATTATCTGGATAGCGTAGATACATTATCCACGTTATCTGGATAGCGTAGAAACAGTATCCATGTTATCTATATAAAGTAGATACATTATCCACGTTATCTGAATAACGTAGATACATTATAAATGTTATCTGGATAACATAGATACATTATCCACAGTATCTAGATAACGTAGATACATTATTCACGTTATCTAGATAACGTAGATACATTATCCATGTTATCTGGATAGCGTAGATACTTATCCACGTTATCTGGATAGCGTAGATACATTATCTACGTTATCTGCATAGCGTAGATACATTATCCACGTTATCCGGATAACTTAGATACATTATCCACGTTATCTGGATATCGTAGATACATTATACACGTTTTCTGGATAGCGTAGATACACTATCCACGTTATCTGGATAGGGTAGATACATAATCCACGTTATCTGGATAGGGTAGATACATTATCCATGTTATCTGGATAAGGTAGATACATTATTTATGACATTTGGATAATGTAGATACATTATCCATGTAATCTGGATAGCGTAGATACATTTTCCACGTTATTTGGATAGCGCAGATACATTATCCACGTTATCTGGATAGCCTAGATACATAATCCACGTTATCTGGATAACGTAGATACAATATTCACATTATCTGGATAGCGTAGATACATTATCCACGTTATCTGGATAGCGTAGAAACAGTATCCATGTTATCTAGATAAAGTAGATACATTATCCACGTTATCTGGATAACGTAGATACATTATCCACGTTATCTGAATAATGTAGATACATTATTTATGACATTTGGATAATGTAGATACATTATCCATGTAATCTGGATAGCGTAGATACATTTTCCACGTTATTTGGATAGCGCAGATACATTATCCACGTTATCTGGATAGCCTAGATACATAATCCACGTTATCTGGATAACGTAGATACAATATTCACATTATCTGAATAACGTAGATACATTATTTATGACATTTGGATAATGTAGATACATTATCCAAAGTATCTGGATAACGTTTACGTTATCTGGATAGCGTAGATACATTATCCACGTTATCTTGATAACGTAGATACATTATCCACGTTATCTGGATAACTTAGATACATTATCCACCTTATCAGGATAAAGTAGATACATTATCCACGTTATCTGGATAGCGTAGATACATTTTCTACGTTATCTGGATAGCGTAGATACATTTTCCACATTATCTAGATAGCGTAGATACATTATCCACGTTATCTGGATAGATTAGATACATTACCCACGTTATCTGGGTAGCGTAGATACATTATCCATGTTATCTGGATAGCGTAGATACATTATCCGTATTATCCGGATAACGTAGATACATTATCCGCATTATCTGTATAGCGTAGATACATTCCACGTTATCTGGATAACATAGATACATTATCCACGTTATTTGGATAGCGTAGATACATTATCCACGTTATCGGATATGGTAGATACATTATCCATGTTATCTGGATAACGTAGATACATTATCCACGTTATCTGGATAGCGTAGATACGTTATCCACGTTATCTGGATAGAGTAGATACATTATCCACGTTATCTGGATAACATAGATACATTATCCACGTTATTTGGATAGCGTAGATACATTATCCACGTTATCGGATATGGTAGATACATTATCCATGTTATCTGGATAACGTAGATACATTATCCACGTTATCTGGATAGCGTAGATACATTTTCCACATTATCTAGATAGCGTAGATACATTATCCACGTTATCTGGATAGATTAGATACATTACCCACGTTATCTGGGTAGCGTAGATACATTATCCATGTTATCTGGATAGCGTAGATACATTATCCGTATTATCCGGATAACGTAGATACATTATCCGCATTATCTGTATAGCGTAGATACATTCCACGTTATCTGGATAACATAGATACATTATCCACGTTATTTGGATAGCGTAGATACATTATCCACGTTATCGGATATGGTAGATACATTATCCATGTTATCTGGATAACGTAGATACATTATCCACGTTATCTGGATAGCGTAGATACGTTATCCACGTTATCTGGATAGAGTAGATACATTATCCACGTTATCTGGATAACATAGATACATTATCCACGTTATTTGGATAACGTAGATACATTATCCACGTTATCTGGATAACATAGATACATTATCCATGTTATCTGGATAACGTAGATACATTATCCACGTTATCTGGATAACATAGATACATTATCCACGTTATCTAGATAACGTAGATACATTATTCACGTCATCTGGATAATGTAGATACATTATCCAAAGTATCTGGATAGCGTAGATACATTATCCTCGTTATCTGCATAGCGTAGATACATTATCCACGTTATCTGGATAGCGTAGATACATTATCCACGTTATCTGGATAGCGTAGATACATTATCCACGTTATCTGGATAGCGTAGATACATTATTCACGTCATCTGGATAATGTAGATACATTATCCAAAGTATCTGGATAACGTAGATACATTATCCTCGTTATCTGCATAGCGTAGATACAGTATCCACGTTATCTGGATAGCGTAGATACATTATTCACGTCATCTGGATAATGTAGATACATTATCCAAAGTATCTGGATAGCGTAGATACATTATCCACGTTATCTGGATAGCGTAGATACATTATCCACGTTATCTGGATAACGTAGATACATTATCCACGTTATCTGGATAGCGTAGATACATTATCCACGTTATCTGGATAACGTAGATACATTATCCACGTTATCTGGATAGCGTAGATACATTATCCATGTTATCTGGATAGCGTAGATACATTATCCACGTTATCTGGATAGCGTAGATACATTATCCACGTTATCTGGATAACGTAGATACATTATCCACGTTATCTGGATAGCGTAGATACATTATCCACGTTATCTGGATAACTTAGATACATTATCCACGTTATCTGGATAGCGTAAATACATTATCCATGTTATATGGATAGCGTAGATACATTATCCACGTTATCTGGATAGCGTAGATACATTATCCACGTTATCTGGATAGCGTAGAAACAGTATCCATGTTATCTATATAAAGTAGATACATTATCCACGTTATCTGAATAACGTAGATACATTATAAATGTTATCTGGATAACATAGATACATTATCCACAGTATCTAGATAACGTAGATACATTATTCACGTTATCTAGATAACGTAGATACATTATCCATGTTATCTGGATAGCGTAGATACTTATCCACGTTATCTGGATAGCGTAGATACATTATCTACGTTATCTGCATAGCGTAGATACATTATCCACGTTATCCGGATAACTTAGATACATTATCCACGTTATCTGGATATCGTAGATACATTATACACGTTTTCTGGATAGCGTAGATACACTATCCACGTTATCTGGATAGGGTAGATACATAATCCACGTTATCTGGATAGGGTAGATACATTATCCATGTTATCTGGATAAGGTAGATACATTATTTATGACATTTGGATAATGTAGATACATTATCCATGTAATCTGGATAGCGTAGATACATTTTCCACGTTATTTGGATAGCGCAGATACATTATCCACGTTATCTGGATAGCCTAGATACATAATCCACGTTATCTGGATAACGTAGATACAATATTCACATTATCTGGATAGCGTAGATACATTATCCACGTTATCTGGATAGCGTAGAAACAGTATCCATGTTATCTAGATAAAGTAGATACATTATCCACGTTATCTGGATAACGTAGATACATTATCCACGTTATCTGAATAATGTAGATACATTATTTATGACATTTGGATAATGTAGATACATTATCCATGTAATCTGGATAGCGTAGATACATTTTCCACGTTATTTGGATAGCGCAGATACATTATCCACGTTATCTGGATAGCCTAGATACATAATCCACGTTATCTGGATAACGTAGATACAATATTCACATTATCTGAATAACGTAGATACATTATTTATGACATTTGGATAATGTAGATACATTATCCAAAGTATCTGGATAACGTTTACGTTATCTGGATAGCGTAGATACATTATCCACGTTATCTTGATAACGTAGATACATTATCCACGTTATCTGGATAACTTAGATACATTATCCACCTTATCAGGATAAAGTAGATACATTATCCACGTTATCTGGATAGCGTAGATACATTTTCTACGTTATCTGGATAGCGTAGATACATTATCCACGTTATCTGGATAGCGTAGATACATTATTCACGTCATCTGGATAATGTAGATACATTATCCAAAGTATCTGGATAACGTAGATACATTATCCTCGTTATCTGCATAGCGTAGATACAGTATCCACGTTATCTGGATAGCGTAGATACATTATTCACGTCATCTGGATAATGTAGATACATTATCCAAAGTATCTGGATAGCGTAGATACATTATCCACGTTATCTGGATAGCGTAGATACATTATCCACGTTATCTGGATAACGTAGATACATTATCCACGTTATCTGGATAGCGTAGATACATTATCCACGTTATCTGGATAACGTAGATACATTATCCACGTTATCTGGATAGCGTAGATACATTATCCATGTTATCTGGATAGCGTAGATACATTATCCACGTTATCTGGATAGCGTAGATACATTATCCACGTTATCTGGATAACGTAGATACATTATCCACGTTATCTGGATAGCGTAGATACATTATCCACGTTATCTGGATAACGTAGATACATTATCCACGTTATCTGGATAGCGTAGATACATTATCCATGTTATCTGGATAGCGTAGATACATTATCCACGTTATCTGGATAGCGTAGATACATTATCCACGTTATCTGGATAGCGTAGAAACAGTATCCATGTTATCTATATAAAGTAGATACATTATCCACGTTATCTGAATAACGTAGATACATTATAAATGTTATCTGGATAACATAGATACATTATCCACAGTATCTAGATAACGTAGATACATTATTCACGTTATCTAGATAACGTAGATACATTATCCATGTTATCTGGATAGCGTAGATACTTATCCACGTTATCTGGATAGCGTAGATACATTATCTACGTTATCTGCATAGCGTAGATACATTATCCACGTTATCCGGATAACTTAGATACATTATCCACGTTATCTGGATATCGTAGATACATTATACACGTTTTCTGGATAGCGTAGATACACTATCCACGTTATCTGGATAGGGTAGATACATAATCCACGTTATCTGGATAGGGTAGATACATTATCCATGTTATCTGGATAAGGTAGATACATTATTTATGACATTTGGATAATGTAGATACATTATCCATGTAATCTGGATAGCGTAGATACATTTTCCACGTTATTTGGATAGCGCAGATACATTATCCACGTTATCTGGATAGCCTAGATACATAATCCACGTTATCTGGATAACGTAGATACAATATTCACATTATCTGGATAGCGTAGATACATTATCCACGTTATCTGGATAGCGTAGAAACAGTATCCATGTTATCTAGATAAAGTAGATACATTATCCACGTTATCTGGATAACGTAGATACATTATCCACGTTATCTGAATAATGTAGATACATTATTTATGACATTTGGATAATGTAGATACATTATCCATGTAATCTGGATAGCGTAGATACATTTTCCACGTTATTTGGATAGCGCAGATACATTATCCACGTTATCTGGATAGCCTAGATACATAATCCACGTTATCTGGATAACGTAGATACAATATTCACATTATCTGAATAACGTAGATACATTATTTATGACATTTGGATAATGTAGATACATTATCCAAAGTATCTGGATAACGTTTACGTTATCTGGATAGCGTAGATACATTATCCACGTTATCTTGATAACGTAGATACATTATCCACGTTATCTGGATAACTTAGATACATTATCCACCTTATCAGGATAAAGTAGATACATTATCCACGTTATCTGGATAGCGTAGATACATTTTCTACGTTATCTGGATAGCGTAGATACATTTTCCACATTATCTAGATAGCGTAGATACATTATCCACGTTATCTGGATAGATTAGATACATTACCCACGTTATCTGGGTAGCGTAGATACATTATCCATGTTATCTGGATAGCGTAGATACATTATCCGTATTATCCGGATAACGTAGATACATTATCCGCATTATCTGTATAGCGTAGATACATTCCACGTTATCTGGATAACATAGATACATTATCCACGTTATTTGGATAGCGTAGATACATTATCCACGTTATCGGATATGGTAGATACATTATCCATGTTATCTGGATAACGTAGATACATTATCCACGTTATCTGGATAGCGTAGATACGTTATCCACGTTATCTGGATAGAGTAGATACATTATCCACGTTATCTGGATAGCGTAGATACGTTATCCACGTTATCTGGATAGAGTAGATACATTATCCACGTTATCTGGATAACATAGATACATTATCCACGTTATTTGGATAGCGTAGATACATTATCCACGTTATCGGATATGGTAGATACATTATCCATGTTATCTGGATAACGTAGATACATTATCCACGTTATCTGGATAGCGTAGATACATTTTCCACATTATCTAGATAGCGTAGATACATTATCCACGTTATCTGGATAGATTAGATACATTACCCACGTTATCTGGGTAGCGTAGATACATTATCCATGTTATCTGGATAGCGTAGATACATTATCCGTATTATCCGGATAACGTAGATACATTATCCGCATTATCTGTATAGCGTAGATACATTCCACGTTATCTGGATAACATAGATACATTATCCACGTTATTTGGATAGCGTAGATACATTATCCACGTTATCGGATATGGTAGATACATTATCCATGTTATCTGGATAACGTAGATACATTATCCACGTTATCTGGATAGCGTAGATACGTTATCCACGTTATCTGGATAGAGTAGATACATTATCCACGTTATCTGGATAACATAGATACATTATCCACGTTATTTGGATAACGTAGATACATTATCCACGTTATCTGGATAACATAGATACATTATCCATGTTATCTGGATAACGTAGATACATTATCCACGTTATCTGGATAACATAGATACATTATCCACGTTATCTAGATAACGTAGATACATTATTCACGTCATCTGGATAATGTAGATACATTATCCAAAGTATCTGGATAGCGTAGATACATTATCCTCGTTATCTGCATAGCGTAGATACAGTATCCACGTTATCTGGATAGCGTAGATACATTATCCACGTTATCTGGATAGCGTAGATACATTATCCACGTTATCTGGATAGCGTAGATACATTATTCACGTCATCTGGATAATGTAGATACATTATCCAAAGTATCTGGATAACGTAGATACATTATCCTCGTTATCTGCATAGCGTAGATACAGTATCCACGTTATCTGGATAGCGTAGATACATTATTCACGTCATCTGGATAATGTAGATACATTATCCAAAGTATCTGGATAGCGTAGATACATTATCCACGTTATCTGGATAGCGTAGATACATTATCCACGTTATCTGGATAACTTAGATACATTATCCACGTTATCTGGATAGCGTAGATACATTATCCACGTTATCTGGATAACGTAGATACATTATCCACGTTATCTGGATAGCGTAGATACATTATCCATGTTATATGGATAGCGTAGATACATTATCCACGTTATCTGGATAGCGTAGATACATTATCCACGTTATCTGGATAACTTAGATACATTATCCATGTTATGTGGTTAACGTAGATACATTATCCACGTTATCTGGACAGCGTAGATACATTATCCATGTTATGTGGTTAACGTAGATACATTATCCACGTTATCTGGATAACGTATATACATTATCCACGTTATCTGGATAGCGTAGATACATTATCCGTATTATCTGGATAACGTATATACATTATCCACGTTATCTGGTTAAAGTAGATACATTATTCATCTTATCTGGATAGCGTAGATACATTATCCATGGTATCTGGATAACGTAGATACACATCTTTTTCTGGGTCACACAACATAGATACATTATCTATTCCATAGATACATTTCATTCACTCACTATGGTATCCGTATCCAATAGATCTAACGTGGTCAAATAGTTGACTTCATTTGTGGAACGTTCATCGGTCGATGGGGCCAAACGGGGTCTCAGCAAACGCCAGGGTAAACCCAAATTTGTGGCCTTTTCCATGGCATCGCACCAATGGGAGACGGAAATGTAGCCTTAAAAGCAGATAAGAAAAAATATTTAAAAAATTTATTTTTTTTCCAAATCTGGCTCCCCTTCTCACCTCTGTTATTGGGGTCATTCTTCCTGAACTCCTCCTCCAGCTCATTACGCTTTGCCCTCAATCTTGCACCCAATTCCCGAATCGCTGAACTCTCAACAATGCCAACCCTTTGGCGGAATGTTAATTGACGTGTCTTCGAAGCAGCCGAAATGTACTGTACAAAATGTGGTTCCAGATGGGGATTCAATTTCATATAGGCACCCCGATTCGAGCCGATGGCATAGTAGTTCGAAGCCGAAAAAATCGTCACCACCTTGTCGTCGTGTACAAACTCATAGCCATCGACCTTGCATTCGTGCGAGCGGACCAATAGCTCCAACTTGTGTTGTTCCAAAAAGTTTCGGGTTACATCGGGTCCGAAATAGGTGCCGGCACCGCGTAGGCTATTGGGCAGGCAGCCGTCATTGTGTTGTGGATCACTCCACATGATATCGAAGAGCTGGGGAACAAAGAAGAAGAAAAAAATGATGGCATTAAATTTTTTGATGATTTTTTTTTTTTTTTGGAACAAATGGAGGGGGTGGAGGTGTGCTGACTTCCTCGTAATTAGTTTTGATAGCCTGCCAAGCAATTACCAGCTGTCTTTATTACCCCCCAAAATTGGCTGTGAAAACACACTCATCAACATTATCATCATTGTTAGACTACATGATGTTGTCAGTACTTCTCCCTTCTTCCTCCCTCTCTTTCCAACTTCCTTTACCTATCAGGCGACTCCAGAAAATTTTCAAGAGCTATAAAATGTTTTTCTGGCTTCATAAAAGTAAACAGCCTATTTCGTGCCATATTTGCCTTTTTCTATTGTTTTTAGAGGGAGTTTATAACCTCCTACCTCCCACTCTCTCCCACACCTTCCTCCACCCCACCACACATCTGTGTAGCATAAAATCTTGGCAGTAATTTTCTGTTGTTCTTCCACTCTCGTTCAAAATCTATAAACATCATAACTTTATGGTACCTCACAGACAGGCTCACTCTCTCCCCCTACACAAACTCACACACACACACCCATTCATAGATAATCGCAGCGGAACATGAAAGGTCTTCACTGCGTATACGTGATTTAATTTCCTTGTAATTTATTCATGTCACTCATACGACGTGTGTGCGACATGGGGACGAGGGGGCACAGAACGCAATACAATCCATGATGGGATTGTGGTACTTTTTTAACAACCAGCCGTGAGCTGTGGCCGCAGGAAGTGTCTGTGTGTGTATGTGTGCAAAGGACATTATTAAGGTGCAAGCCATTTAAAGAGAGAGGCGAGAAAACAATCACTTTTTAATTATTTTGAAATTCATTTTGAAATTTTGAAAAAATATTTTTTAAAAAATCCACGTTTATTGTAGACTTGAAAAAATATTTTTTACAAAATCCACGTTAATTATAGAGTTGAAAAAATATTTTTTTAAAAATCCACTTTTATTATAGATTTGAAAAAAAAAATATTTTTTAAAAAATCCAAGTTTATAGAAAATTTGAAAAAAAATTTAATAAATATACACCTATCGAAACTTTGAAAAAATAATTTTTAATAAATCCACGATTATTGTAGACTTGGAAAAATATTTTTTAATAAATCCATGATTATTGTAGACTTGAAAAAATATTTTTTTAAAAATCCACGTTTATAGTAGACTTGAAAAAATATTTTTTTAAAAATCCACGTTTATTGTAGACTTGAAAAAATATATTTTAATAAATCCACGTTTATTGTAGACTTGAAAAAATATTTTTTAATAAATCCACTTTTATTGTAGACTTGAAAAAATATTTTTTTAAATTCACGTTTATTGTAGACTTGAAAAAATATTTTTTTAAATTCACGTTTATTGTAGACCTGAAAAAATATTTTTTAATAAATCCACGTTTATTGTAGACTTGAAAAAATATTTTTTTAAAAATCCACGTTTATTGTAGACTTGAAAAAATAATTTTTTAAAAATCCACATTTATTGTAGACTTGAAAAAAATATTTTTTAAAAAATCCACCTTTATTGTAGACTTGAAAAAATATTTTTTAATAAATCCACGTTTATTGTAGACTTGGAAAAATATTTTTTAATAAATCCACGTTTATTGTAGACTTGGAAAAATATTTTTTTAATAAATCCACGTTTATTGAAACTTTGGAAAAATATTTTTTTTAATAATTCCACGTTTATTGTAGACATGGAAAAATATTTTTTAATAAATCCACGTTTATTGTAGACTTGGAAAAATATTTTTTAATAAATCCACATTTATTGTAGACTTGGGAAAAATATTTTTTTTTAATAATTCCACGTTTATTGTAGACATGGAAAAATATTTTTTAATAAATCCACGTTTATTGTAGACTTGGAAAAATATTTTTTAATAAATCCACGTTTATTGTAGACTTGGAAAAATATTTTTTAATAAATCCACGTCTATTGTCGACTTGGAAAAATATTTTTTAATAAATCCACGTTTATTGAATATTTAAAAAAATATTTTTTAATAAATCCACGTTTATTGTAGACTTGGAAAAATATTTTTTAATAAATCCACGTTTATTGAAACTTTGGAAAAATATTTTTTTAATAATTCCACGTTTATTGTAGACATGGAAAAATATTTTTTAATAAATCCACGTTTATTGTAGACTTGGAAAAATATTTTTTAATAAATCCACGTTTATTGAATATTTAAAAAATTATTTTTAAAAAAATCCACGTTGTTTGGATTATTAAAAAAATATTTTTTAATAAATCCACGTTTATTGAATATTTAAAAAATTATTTTTAAAAAAATCCACGTTGTTTGGATTATTAAAAAAATATTTTTTAAAAAATCCACGCTGTTTGGATTATTGAAAAAAAATATTTTTTAAAAAATCCTCGTTGTTTGGATTATTGAAAAAATATTTTTTAAAAAATCCACGTTGTTTGAATTATTGAAAAAATATTTTTTAAAAAATCCAGGTTGTTTGAATTATTGAAAAAATATTTTTTAAAAAATCCACGTTGTTTGGATTATTGAAAAAATATTTTTTTTTTTTAAATCCACGTTGTTTGGATTATTGAAAAAATATTTTTTCAATAATCCAAACAACGTGGATTTTTTAAAAAATATGTTTTCAATAATTCAAACAACCTGGATTTTTAAAAAATATTTTTTCAATAATTCAAACAACGTGGATTTTTTAAAAAATATTTTTTCAATAATCCAAACAACGAGGATTTTTTAAAAAATATTTTTTTCAATAATCCAAACAGCGTGGACTTTTTAAAAAATATTTTTTTAATAATCCAAACAACGTGGATTTTTTTAAAAATAATTTTTTAAATATTCAATAAACGTGGATTTATTAAAAAATAATTTTTTAAATATTCAATAAACGTGGATTTATTAAAAAATATTTTTCCAAGTCGACAATAGACGTGGATTTATTAAAAAATATTTTTCCAAGTCGACAATAAACGTGGATTTATTAAAAAAATATTTTTCCAAGTCGACAATAAACGTGGATTTATTAAAAAAATATTTTTCCAAGTCGACAATAAACGTGGATTTATTAAAAAAATATTTTTTCAAAATGAATTTCAAAATAATTAAAAAGTGATTGTTTTCTCGCCTTTCTCTATAAATGGCCTGCACCTTACTTATGTCCTTTGCACACATACGCACACAGACACATCCTGCGGCCACAGCTCACGGCTGGTTGTTAAAAAAGTACCACAATCCCATCAGGTTGTTTGAATTATTGAAAAAATATTTTTTAAAAAATCCACGTTGTTTGGATTATTGAAAAAATATTTTTTTTTAAATTCACGTTGTTTGGATTATTGAAAAAATATTTTTTTTTAAATTCACGTTGTTTGGATTATTGAAAAAATATTTTTTAAAAAATCCACGTTGTTTGGATTATTGAAAAAATATTTTTTGTTAAATCCACGCTGTTTGGATTATTGAAAAAATATTTTTTAAAAAATCCACGTTGTTTGGATTATTGAAAAAATATTTTTTAAAAAATCCACATTGTTTGGATTATTGAAAAAATATTTTTTTATAAATCCAGGTTGTTTGGATTATTGAAAAAATATTTTTGAAAAAAACCAGGTTGTTTGGATTATTGAAAAATATTTTTTAAAAAATCCACGTTTATCAATATTTAAAAAAAACATTATTTTAAATAAATCCACGTTTAATGATGTTTTCGGGAAAACCTCCTCATATCACAAGACACCTACTTATTTTTATCCGACAGCCAAAGGAACTCCAGGAAATCTCTTGAAACTTCTTGTTATCTAAGGAATTATGAAACTAATTTATCATTTTTTCCAAGAAACAAAAACAACAAGAATTTCTTTTACTTTTGGGGGTGATATACATCAGCGGCTAAGCACACCTTGGAGGTTATTATTATTTTTTTTTCCTCCTAAAAAAGTTTTTTTTTTGTTTTTTTTTTTTTTTTTTTTGGGGAAAAAAAATATTTTTTTTCGGAAATAAAGAAAAACACTTTCAGCCCCTTAATATTAAAGTCCAATTCATTAGAATGATTAGGGAAAGGAAAGGTATGAAAGAAAAAGTGGGCAAAAATAGAAAAGCCACAAGAAAACATTCTTGAAAATCCCTTCCACCGTTACATTCTGGAGGCCATCGCCTTTTTGTGGTGGAGGATTCTATTGAATTAAGGGTATCTTTTTGTTTTCTGTTAACTGGAGAATTGTCTATTTAGTGGCCAACTCCATTGTGTATGGATTTCATTTAATTAAAGATGTTCGCCATGAAAATGCCGAGGAAGAAACTCAAAAAGAGTGGAGAAAACTTTGCGATTAAGGGGGGTAATGGGGTTATTCAGGGCTCCATATTGCAAATCATGGCTCACAAGTCATTAACGTATACATGTTGCCATTACTCATACGCCCTGGTGGTCAACATGTTAAACCTTTAATATTCCCTACTCCACCCTAATCTCCAGTTGTTCCACATCGAGAACTTCAAGAAAAATCTTCCGACTACCTTGTCAACGTCAGTTTATTTATTCAACTCTTCTCTTTTTTCCTTTCTGTGTTTATTGTTCGCTCAGAAGTCCGCTGTGAATGGGAAAACAAGTGTAGAATATTTATAAACAAATGTTGACCCAGTTAATTGCAGAAGTGGCTAAATAGACGGTGTTTTACTCGCTTTGAATGGTTGTTAATTGGTGGCCACGAAGGGGGGAGAAAAAGGAGGAGGAAAAAACTTGAAAGAAATAAGTAACTCAATAAAGGTATCCTTTGGATTGTAGCCACCTCTTGCAAGTGGCACTTAATTGGTTTTTTTGCAAAGCAATTGAGATGCAGCTACTCTGAATTCCGAATCTCTACACATTTTAAATAAATCAACGAAAAAAATAAAATACGAAAACAAATTATTGTCTGGCCGCAATAAATTCGTTTTTGACATGGGTTTAGGGTCCTTCATGGTTTATT